AACTCAATATAGAGAAGAGAGGCCAGGACTTACATTAATGCAACAAAGAGAGCTTTACACCTTGCTGAGGTCTCCACTCTTACAGAACCGAGCCTCACAACACCCCCGGCAGTGCTAGGGGCTGTAAGGTGGTCTGCTCAGGCTGTAGGGAGGGAGGGGCAGATCCTTTCCTTCAGCATTGTCTTATCGGGTACTACTTGACAGAATGAGCCCCCCATGAATCAGGGGGTGCTGGGGCCAACTGGGCATTCCAGCCTGTGAAGATGCAGGACTTGGGTGTGGTGGTTGACAGGGGTCACCCGGTGTGCACAGCTTTGTTCCCAGCACAAGCTGGTGGGGTTTTGGTGGTCTCTGGGAAACACCTAGGAAGGATTTTACCCCTGCCATGGATGATGCAGAGCAACCCCCAGCCCGAAGCTTGGCAACAGCCCCAGGCTCCCTCTCCTCCTGCCCAGTGTGGCAGGGGCGGGCAGCAATGAGGAGGTTGCTGGAGTGGAAACGCTCCTGCCCTGTGCTGCTGCAGGGGATGCACGGCCGGGGCAGCATGGGGACACCACGGCAGTGACAGGATGGCCCAGCAGCATCTGGGTATGGAAGGTGCTTTGGGGATGCCGCTTTGTGGTGGAGCTGATCCCGACCCCTCCGGAGTCCCGCTGGCTTGGCCGTGTTTTGGGCGGGGATGCTGCCGGGGCACCCTTCGGGCTTCAGTGGGGCGAGTATGGTCTCACCCCACAAGGGCTGTGCTCGCCTTTCTGCCGTACCTTAAGCACCAGACCCGACCCCGGCCGAGCGCCGCTGCGCCGCGCCGCGCCGCGCGGGGTGGAGCCGGGCTCGGGCGGGCTCCCGGGGCCGGGCGGGAGAGGGCGCTGTGCCGCCGGCGGCGGGCCGGCCGCGCCTCCCGCGGGCAGGCCCCGCGCCGCCCCGGGGCACAGCGCCCCGGCCGCCGCTGCTCTCGGGCCTTTTCTCCACCCCGGCACTCCTGGGGTGTGGCTTTCCCACTGCGAGTGGGGAGGTGGTTAAAATTAATGCACCTTGCCCTTTCTCCGGCTCCATCCCGGAGCCAGCCTGAGCAGGGCAGGGGATGAAGGATCCGTGCTGCCCACATCTCCTTTCTGGGTGGTTCTGGGAGTGAAAGGCTGGCGGCAGCACGTCTGTCCTCCCTGTGCCATTGCAGGGTTGGAGCCCCCCGGCAGCCCCAGCCCCTGTGGGACAGTTTTCCCACTCACACTCTCGTTTGCGTTTTGTTCACCTCCCTGCCCTTAAAAAAGCACAAATTTGTTCGGTGTGGGAAAAAAAAAAAAAATTAGAAACCCCTGAGAAATGGGAGAAGTGGGCAGAGCCCTGCTGTGGTGTCAGCTGGTTTGGTTTCTCTTTTGCCACGTGGTTTAAAGTCCATGAAGTGGCCCCACTCTGCTCCTGCAGTCCTGAGGGTCCCAGGGATGTCCTGCCATGCCTATGCTCACATTTCACCCCAGAGTGGGGCTGTGGACACAGCTCTGCCATATCCTGCAAGGAATGCTTTATATGGGGATTTATTACTCTGGGGGGTGTCCCGGGGGCTGTTGTTGCTTTTATACAGTCAGGTGTTCTCTGTCCTGCTTAGGGGACCTGTCTTAGCAGTTCCTGCTGCTCTCCAGGATGAAACTGTGCTTCCACCTTGGAACAGCCAGAGAGCACAGGAGAGCTGCTAGTGCCACTTAGAAGAGAAAGCCCAAGGAGGAGGCTGCTGAGTGGATCCCATCTGGGATAGCTGTGGAGGAAACTGAGAAATTTTGGGGTCCCAGCAGCTCATCCCACTTCTGGCACTGCTGCACTGCCTGCTTGGGGATGGCTTGTTGGGAGTTTGTGCCTGTGTGCCTACCATTCATTTGGTGTGTATTAACCTGCAAGACCTGGGGCCAACTCCCCCCTCTCCACATTGCCTGGTGCCAGGGTGTTCAAACACACTTTCCCTAGTGTAGAAACCTAAGACTTGAAACCACCAGGACAAAAGGAACACAAAAATAGAGGCACAAAATTATTTACTCAAACACCTGACCAGAGCCGGGAAGCAAAACCAAATACTTTTAATTTCTAGTGACTGACCTCTGTGTCAGAAGGGGATTTTGCTCCAGGATGGTTTACATGCTGCTTTCCATGGCAGGAACCCCAGGACTTCTGCAGGAACACACACACAGAGATCTGCTTCTCTTGTAGCAGGGGGGTTGGCTCAGAGAAGGGAATGTGAAAAGAAAAAGCAGCAGGAGTCTGTAGTAGCAAGATAGAGATGCTACAGATATGTTTCTCCCCTTGCAAAAGATCTGTGGCTAAAAAAGCATTTCCCACTGGCAGCGTGGTATCTTTTTCTAGTGCTAGATTCATGTTTCATTTCTTTTTATGCCTCCAGAACAGTGAGGGGAGATGGCAGGACCCGTGGGTGGGCTCTGCGGGGTGCCACATGCTTCCTCCCACCATTCATCAGCCCCAAGCAGGCGCTTCAAGCGTGCCCTGATGAGACTGCCACGTTCTGCACGTGCCCTGCAGCTGCTTTTCCCATAGGAAATGGCTTTGCAGGAAGGCTCACAGACCCTGTGGTTTCCAGGGGGATCATTAAGGATCAGAGGAGGTCTCTTGAGCACTTGTGTGCCAGCATGGTGCAGCCCACAGTGCTGCTGCCCAGGGAGCATCCCCAGGGCAGGTTGGTGCCATCCTATCCTTTGAACCCGTTGTATCCTTTGGCCATGGGTGGGGAGGCAGTGACAGTGGCTGCTTTGGTGGGGCAGGCAGTGACAGTGGCTGCTTTGGTGGGCAGAGGTTCCAGTGGGGCAGGTTGCAGCATTCTGAGCGTGCCAGGGCACTCACACACCGTCTCTGCAGGGACAGAGGCTCCTAATGCCTGTGCTGCCCAGGCTGTTCAGCAGCATGTGGGCCTCTGAATAAACAGAATTTAAGCCTGGAATTTGGCATTTATCTGGCTGGCTTGAAACCAAGGCCTGTCCCTTAAAAACCCACAACCTCCTTTCACATCTCTGGCTGTTCAATGCTTAGTGTGCCCTAGACATAAGCATACACTCCTGCCAGTCTCACAGCTCACATCCTTTTCCATAGGGCTGCAGTTTTCCTGTAGAAACAAGCTCTGGAATAGCCTGTAATTCTAATATTACCTCCTAGGATCAGGTGCTACCTTCTCATAGCTGCATGTGGATCTGAATGTGTATTTGGACTGCATGACTTTGAGATTTAGAGATAGTACATGCATACCTTGTAATAACCCTCCTCTGCATGGACACTACTTTTGTAAATGGTTGCTCAGGTGACTTTGAACAGAATACTGTTGAGATGCTTTTCTAAATGTGTATCTCCAAATGATCCAATATCCAGGTGGTGCATTTCCGTGTCTCTGCATGGCCAGCAATGAGAGCTGCTGGCGGGCAGACCCTGGCTCCCTTTTGGGGTGAGCTGCAAGCCAGGACTGACTCCAGCCCTCCTGCACAAGTTGGTTTTGCCCCACCAGTGTAACAGCAGCCAACAGCCCAAACTCTCCCAGATGGCCTCATGCAAAGCACACCTGGTTACACTGATTGCTCTGGATCATGCAGGAGGTCACAGCTGCTCCCCACCACCCTGGGAGTGGTGTTGGTGCTGTGGCTGTGGCCCTGTGGGGCTCCCAGCAAGAGCTGCTGCAGGACTGGATGCATCCCAGAGGTGTATGGCAGCTGTAAGGAGGTGAGTTGGTGTGGGGAGGCTGCAGATGGAGAGGGAGGGAATTGTCCCTGTTGCTGGTGGTTGCTGGAAAGGGAGTTTCCTTGGACCCACCACTGTGTGCTGCACGGAGCAGCTGCAGAGAGGAGCGACAGGGTTGGGCTGTGCTCTGAGGGCACCTGGGCTGGCTCTGCTCTTGTGCTGGGGGGTGAGCCAGTTCACCCCTGAAGCCAGGGTGAGGTGTGTGGTGGCTGTGGGCCTTCCTTGGGCCACGGTGTGGGTGGCTGGGCAGGGGGGTGTCAGAAAGGTGGCATGGAGGTTTTCCCTGTGTCTCATCTGTCATCACTAAGCTCCAGTTTTTGACTTTGCTTTCGTGTGGTTTATTGCTAATTTTCCTCCTCCCCTTCTGAAATGGTTCCATTAGCAGGGTGCTAAAGAAATCTCTCTGAGATAATTATCCCAGATCTCTCTAGAGGCTTTGCCACATGCTGGTGTGTCTGCATGGCTGTATTAATGGTATCATACTGCTACATACCAGTGCTCAGCCCAAGGTGCTTCCCCTGCTGAGGGCTGAAGCCTGAACAGCAACATACAGCAAGTGAAAGGAACTTCTGCCTCCCCTCCCAGACACCTCAAAGCCATGGGGTGTGAGAAGACCCTTCTTGCTGGTCTTGCACCAACTCTGAGTTTGGCCCCCTGATCCAGTTGGGATCTCCCATGTGTTTCTCTGCCCACAGTGGCTCTGGGGAGGGAGCAGAGCAGTGGTGTTTTGTGGCATTGTACATCACAGGAGGAGCATGGAGTGTGGATGGCTGAAATGTGCAGCTGCTTTAACAAGTTGCTGGTCCTTGCAGCAGAGCTGGCTTTCATGGGAAGGCTCTGCCACCTGCTCAGCTCTGCTCAGATGTCTGTGGCCATGCTCCTGACAGCACGTAGGCTGTTCTTTCACAGGGAGCAGGGATAATGCACCTGGAGTCATATTAAAGTGTTAAAATTGCAAACGAAACTCAGTCAAGAAGGATTGCTTGCAGGCTTGTGCACAAGGGAACACAGGGTGTCTTTTCCCCCTCCCTTGTCTCCATTCCAGAGGTTCAGGTGAGACTCCTCACCATCCTCCTGCTCCTCTGGAAGGTTCTGGTTGCAAATTCCTTAAGGAAGTCATGCCCTGGCCCCTGCCTCCTCTCCTCAGGGGATGTGGATGTGGGCTGGTGTCTGCTGGATGCTCTCCATCACCTCGCTGGTGGGAGGAGAGCAAGAACCCGTTTGGAATCAGGGATGATGTGGTTTCTTCAGGTGACATAAAGAGACTCTACATTTCGTTCCAGCTGTTCAGCAATAGAATATATTTAACTTAAAAAAAAAATATATCCACAGTATCAAAACACAAGAAGTCACAATCCAATACTCAGTGATATAAATAGGCATACAAATGGTCCTCTGCAACCCCTCAGTTTGGCCTCCAGTATGAAAATGAAAGGTGGGCTTACCAGCAAGGTGCAAACAACACAGGTGGGCAGGCGCCAGCTCCCTCCTTCCTAAAGTGGAAATTCTGAGGTACCCATGCATGGCCAAAGCCAAGGAGAACACAGACTTGAGCCAGCAATCCCCCTCCCAGCCTTGGGAACAACCTGTGCCAGTGTGTAGTGGCTGAAGGAGGGGTATGGGCCAGGTGGGATCTCTTGCTGGGTGTCTGGGGGAGCACTGCCATCACCTCCAGCAGTGCTGGTAGAGGTGAGCCCGTTTTGATCCCAAGCCAAAATGTGCCATTCCCTTTCACCTGCCTGTTGAAAGCATTCTCAGAGCTGGAAGATGGATTGAGCTACTCTGGCCTTTGCCATTCTTAGAGCCTGAACAAAACCTTCACTTCCCACTGCACCATTCCACCAGTGGGGACAGGATGTTGTTGCTTCCCTCTGGCCAGTTGGGTGGGTGCAAGAGAAGCAGGACTTGACTTTTAGCCTGGCTTAGGTATTCGTACAGATGACAAGAGGAGGTAGGATGGGTTGTGGGTAGCATGAACTCTGGTGGGATTCACTGTAGTTAGCCCTGGTTCAGATGGTGCCACTGTGACCTGGGGTTTTGCACCATGCTGCTCCCACAGGGGGATGGGAATGCTGAGGGCCAGTTTGGGAAATAAATTGCAGCACTGCTTCAAAGTGCATAGTGTGTGTGAGCGTGAAGCAAAGTCAGCTGGAAAATACAGGGCTGTGTTGCCACACCATGGTTAGCAAGTGTGTGGGAGAAGACATTGCTTTTACCTGGGAGGAGTGCCAGATCTAGCCAGGGTCTCCTTGTACCTGGGGTTTAGATGTCAAGGAATTCTTGGTGGTGTCTTGCAGTGGATGCAGTTTGGGCTGAGCAGCAATAAAATGCACCCTGGCTGGAGTGTATGCATGTCTGTGAACTGCAAAGTCAGCCTAGAACAAGCAGGAGGCAAGGAATAAAACAGCCCTCTGAAGAATACTGGGTCTGTGAGCTTCAGCTTCCTGTCCACAGAGCTCAGCACAGCACTCGCAGCAAGACTTAATGGGCAATTTCCAGCACAACTGGAAGGTCTTTAATAAAATGTCTGAAAGTCAGTGCACAGGGGGAGGGACATGCTTTGTGTCTTGGGAAGGTGGAGTCCCCTCTCACATCTAACTCTCCTGACCCCATGGCTCTGTGTGCCAGAGCTGCTCCCAGCACAAAGCCCCAGTGACCTTCCCTGCTGTGACTGCCACAGCTGAGAGGAGCAGTATGGCCGACCAGGCAAAAGGCTGGGAGGGTGGGAGTCACCCGCCAAAGCATCTTCTCCATGGTAAATATGGATTTGGCAACACCAATGAACTTGGGAAAATGGTCCTGTGCCCTGTGTTGCAATGGGGGCTGACCCAGGATGAAGCTGGTTTTTCACTGAGTTGGTTCCTACCTAGAATTGCTTTCCAATGAGTAGTTTTTCAGCCCAGCTGTGTTCAAGTACCAAGAAGCTATTTCATTAAAGCCCTTTTTTTGTTTTGGTTGTTGTTTTGGTTTGGTTTGGTTTTGAGAAACCTGGTTTTCACAATTAGAAAGGAGCAGCAGAAAATTCTGTGTTGCTGGCAGATGGGGGTGAAGCAACTGCATTTATTCTTCATTACCCACATCACTCTTTAGCTGTAAAACTCGCATGTCAAACATCTACATTTACAAAGCAGGTGATGGTGCTGGGATAGCTGGGGGCCATGCACTTGGGACCACAGGAAGGGCTCGGGCTGTGCCCTCTGGCTGTGCTGGTTTGCAGCTGGTCACAGGCACAGCTCCCACAGGAGGGAAGGGAGTTATCCAGCCCCGGTGGAGGTGTTGTCCCCTCTGCAATGCTTCGGAAGGAGGTGTGAAAGCACTGGGTCGTTAATTTTACCCTAAAGAGAAAGAAAGTAATTGTTGATAGGGGAAAGCTCCAGATTTTCACTCGTACCTGTGTCTTCACAGCGTGGCTCTTGTCAGTGCCTGGATTGTGAGCACCAGACACACCCCTCCAGATGCTGCCAGCTGCCCACAGAACTCTGACCTCTTGTGAGAGTAGGAAAGCCAAGTCGTAGTGCAGGGTGTTGTACTAAAGAGGGGAAGAGCAGAACCTGCTGGTGACCACAGCCCTGCCCTGGGCTCAGTCTCTGAGCTCCCCACTGCTTGCCACGGGGAGACCTGAAGCCAGGGTGAGGGGCTCACCACGGCCTGAGAGCAGGCTGCTGCTCACATGTGGGCTGGGGGGAGCTTGGCAGTGTCGGTTTTATTCAGGGCTATTGGAAAAAGCAAAGGGATTTATAATTTTTATTACTACCACAGGACAGCCTTGGAGAAAATGCAATTTGATGCTTGCTGCCTGGTAGCAAGGCCAATCTATAAAGTGGCTCCTGTCCTAAAGCTGAGAGTGGGAAACTGTCTGCTGCTAATTAAAATCAATTAAGCAAATCACCACAGTAGGCAACAATAAGGCTTTTTGTCCTGGGTGTCATTTGACAGATTTCAGAGCCTCTGAAGTGGTGCATTGAGTGTTTTCTTGGCTTCACCAATTCAATAAGAAGGTGAAAGATAAGATAAAATTTTACAGAGCAAAACCTGAAAGTAAATTATAAATCCCACACTTCATCTGTACAGTGCTCTGACTCCCTCATGCAATAAATGCAGACAGCACCCAGACCTAACCAAAGTGATGCTCTCAGAGACCTGCAGCCATCCCAGGGAGGGCAGCATTTCCATTCGATCCTTTCCCAGCCAAACAAATTCTTCCATCCTAACTAGAGCACAGAGATGGACAGCACCAAATGTGGTCCAAAAGGTCAGCAAAACCCTGGTGGTGCTGATGAGGTGCTTATTCTGTCCCTTTTTGTTCCCAGGGGACCTTCTGTGCAGGTGCTAGGCCTCTGGGATGGGGCATCTGCTGCAGGTGTGGCATCTGATGCCACAGGAGATATGACTTTTGGCAGTTTAGGCCCAGTGAAAATATCAGCTTGTTTATTCCTCCCCAGCCTGAAGCTTTATGTGCTGCCTGTCCACTACACATTTAAATCCACCTTCTAAAAGTGAACCCAACTTCACAGGCAGAAGAACACAGAAGAAGTTGTTCTTAAGCCACACTTGCTGCTCCTATTTCAAAGGTGTTGCCTGGTTCCTTTTATCCATGGCCTGTTATCCATGTCTGCTTCTGCACACCTGTGCTGACACCACAGCATAACTGATTTGATGCTCAGGCAGTGTTTGGTGTTTGCACTCGACCCAGCCATTCTGGTTTGGCAAAGGTGAGGGGTAACCATTGCTCTTTGTCATTGTACATGCTACAGCTGAGTGGGCAAGTGGTTTGGGTTACTTCAGAGCCAGTTATAGACATCAGAAAAAGAATTCTCACTGATGACAGCAGCAGCTTGTGAAGGTGTTTTCCAGACATGCTACAGATTCCCTGTTTGCTACTGGTTAGGATCCTATTTACCCCTTATTTTCCCAGGTGGGAAATGGAGGAGCAGAGATGGTCTGTCTCATAGAACACGCTGAAGCTCAGTTCTGTAATACGTGTACAGCCCAGCAAGCCACAGAGCTGCAGATGCCACAGCACAGGCCACTCCCTGAACCAGTCCCTTTGGTAAAAATGGACAAAGACACTTGAAATAGTGAATGTTGTGAGCAGAAATCCTTCTGGTCATCGCTGTGGCAGTGGTACTCTTGAGGAGCTCATCCCTTGGCTTTAGTGCAGATCCCAGATGACTCTTGGGTTTTCCACCACTGACCTGCTTGATTGGTTTTCTCCAGCTGCTGCTCTCCTCCAAGCCTCTGCCTGGCCAAGCAATGTAACCGTGGCTCACTGCAGCCTGGCATTCTGGCAGTTTAACTGTGCTGCTTTTCCTCTGGAGCACTTCCAGCCCTGGCCTAACAAAAAGCACCAACTGGTACTTGCTTTCCAAGGAAACCTTTGCTCCTCTGCTGCCTGTGTTGTGTGGCTTGTGTCGCTCTAAAAACTGATGGGTTTTCAATCTCTTTTCCTCTAAAATGACAAATGCAAAGTCTTCCTGTCTGTACCATGTCATGATCTTCACTTTTTATGCAGTAGCCCAAAAAGTGGAGCTCATCATCCCTGTTTGGATACAGGGCAGTGACTAAATACCTGTTTCTGCCTGTCCAGCATGGCAGAACAAACAGCAGTTTAGGGTGTGAGGCAAGAGAAATGCAGCCTGAATTATACCATGGGTTTGCTTAGGAGACCTGTCCTTTTTCCTTACTGTATACTGTGAACTGTACAAATACACTGCCCTGCCTGAAGTCTGGCTTGGTAAAATGTACAATTAATTGTTTGTGTTACAAATTTGCATCCTTGACTATATATATATATATTTTTTTTTTTTTTCAATTAATACTGCTGAGATCAGAGGAAATACTTGAGCAACCATCTTCACAATGAAAGTTGGTGCTCCCAAGGCTCCTAACTCTGCCTCTTTTCTCCTGTTCAGGCAGCCCAAAGCTTTTTATAGTGCCCAGCCACAAAAGGGTCAAGTAGAAAAAGTCTGTCATTCCTTCTGATGCCTACATTGGATAAATGGGCATAGTTTAGAGGGGTCCTGTCCCATCACAAGTTAGTTGGGACTGTGAATGTTGCTTTGTCCTCAGCCCTGAAGAAGGACCTCCTGAGCTGGGAGGGCAAAGAGGTATTGATGTCTGCTTCCCACAGGCTGTGGGCTCACAGCGCAGTGCGGGCATTGAGCAGGGAGGAAACTTGCTGGGAAGAGAGGTGTTGCATTAAATACAGACAGTGTCCCTGCATCAGGAGAACAGCAGGGGTTGTGGGGAGGCTAAGCCAGAGGTTTGCTAAACCAAAACACTAAATGAACTTCCCAGCAGGTCTCAGTGGGATCACTTGACAGGTGCCCTGCCCAGCGCAGGGCTCTCCTCCACCCTTGGTGGGCAGCTCAGGGCACTTGCTACTTTTTGATACCCCAAGTCTCTTTACAACAGGGGGTGTGATAGCTGACCGGACCTGTTCTGCATGAAAAATAAAAACCTTGTTAAAAGCAGACCATCTTACCAGGAGAGGCTGGACACTTGCAGGGCAGTGGTGTTTGCTGCCATTGCTTTCTCACCATCTGACTCCTGGCAGGAGCAGTGGGCTGGGAGTAGGTCTCAGCTGCTGTGCTTGGGTGGCTCCTGGTTTTGGCAGAGGGTTTGTGTGAAACTCCTCTGTCTGGAAGGGCCGTCCTTGCATATCAGCAGCCTGCTTTACCCTCTTTCAGCAGGGCTCCCCCTGCTATCTTTTTGGAGAGAAAAAGCATCCAGGTGCTGACACCAAGCTGAGATCCTCTTAACCTACTGCAATCAGAGGGATCACTCCACCTGTAGCCACTGCAACTCTGCACATCATGTTCAAACCATTAAATCACAGCCCCATCCCATTTGGCCACGGGCCTTGCAACCACAACAGCTCCCAAGCACCTGTCTAGTACCAGGTAGTGATCCTGGAATTTTGGATACTTACCTGGGGAAGCAGAGCTGGGATGCTGCTTCAGCCAGGAGCACTCATTGTGCTCTAAGGGGATCCATTTTCAAAGCATGGAGACACTGCTAACAAGTCCCTTTCAGGGGCAGGAAAAGTCTCATTCTTTGGCTCCCCAGTATTGTTTTAGATGAGAGGCTTTTGGCAGTATTTGCTGCTCTATAGGCGAGGTGCTGCAGGACATCAGTCCTGTGCTAGGAAAAGTGTTCCCTGGGCTGGTGGGAGCTCTGGTCTTTGCATGGTGGCAGCGGATGGAAGCAGGGGATGGCCCCGGTCACTTCAGCGGTACAATATGATTTACAGCAAGCACGTTTCTCAAGACATCTGTGGGGACAGAGCTTCAGTGAACATCATATATATACAGGCAGCAGAGGAGGCTGGGTTGGACCCTCCACTACTGCAAAGCAGTCACGGATGGAATCTCAGGGTGGGGAAAAAAGTACCACTGGTTTGCTTTTACATCCTGTACATACATCTATGAATAGCTCCTTGGCATTTGATGTTCACAGCCAGCGTCCTTTAACAGCAAGCATAAAAAGGAGGCAAAACATCTTCAGCGACCTCCCCCTGGGAGCAGAAGGAAGGCAGGATCTCCCTCTCCCTTGGTTCAGCTGCCTGCCTAGGTGCCACCTTTGCCAAGGGTGTTTCCTTGTCCTGGCACCCTCGTCCTCCTCATCGGCCGCCCCCCGCGTGCTGGCCGGGACCAGTCCAAGCCAAGCCTTGCTTGCCTCATCTCCGCTGCTCAGGGGCATCAGTGCAAGTCTGCGCCGGCTGCTCTGCATCTCCGCTCCGCTGGACGGGCAGGTGAACCGGGCAGACACAAGGAGACAAAACAAAGGGGACAAGAAGAGAGACAAAGGGTAATGAAAAGGTCCGTGGCCCATGGCTGCCAAAGGAAATCTCTCGCCGTGTTTCTCTGACCATACTTGTCCCAGCCACTACAGCTGCTGTGGGATCCCCTGTTCCTTGTAGCCTGTGAGGAGGGAGGGGAAGGGAACATGATTAGAGTTAATTCCAAATGAGGACCCTCGATGAGGCTCAAGCAAGCCACGAACCTGGTTTACCAGGAGTGGCAAAAACCACGTGGGAAAACAGGAGGGCTGCCACATTCTCCCTCGTGGCCAGGCTGCCCAGGGCAGCCCCCTGCCCTGCTTTAGCCAACAGCTGCCTGGTGCTGCCTCCTTCCTGGGCACAGCCATGTGGATGCTGGCAGCCAGCCCTGCTGCTCTGGCACCCACCTGCCACCAGGCTGGCACGGGCACCTCCGCTTGAAGAGATTGTAAGAGCAGAGTAGATACCAGTGGTCACCAATTTCAGCCCAGTAACCTGAAGTTTTTATGGAGTGTGTTTTCCTGCAGTGCAGGGGAAATGGATGCCCTTGTATCCTGTTCCAGAGACATGGCTGCTCCCAAGCACTGCCCTGGTGGGTCGTGCATCTGATCTTGAGATACATCTCTCCTTGGGATCTACTTGTGTCTGCACCTTGTCCTCCCAGAGCACTGCCAGGTAGGAGGAGTTTGGTTTTCTCTCTCCATCTTTTTGTTCCCATGCTGGGTTTTGCTGATGGTGCTCCCCAGCAGCAACCAATTTGCGCTGCGGTTTGCACAGCTGAGCGAGCACCTCTGGGAGGAGAAGGGGAATGCCTTGAATCACAGGTTGAAGTGTCAAACACAGATCTTGGGATGCTCTAATGATATTCTCACTGCCTGGTTCTGCACTTGCTTTGCTCCAGCCCAGCAGAATTACAGCTTTTCTCAGGGCACAGCAGCCATCCAGTGGGCCTGGAGGAAACAGATTTTTTCAGCAGGAGGAAACCGATTTTTTCAGCAGCAAAACCAAGGAAACTGCCAGGATCCCTGTTCCTTCATACCCTTTCCTCTTCTTGTGGCCATGAGGTTTGATGCACTTCCCAGGCAAGAAAGTGAAGCCCTTGGGGTCCCACTGTGTGGCAGCCACATGGATGTTGCAAGGGCTCAAGCAGCCTGTCCTGCTGCTTGTCACAGCTCCTTGAGGTCCCAGATTATTTACTGTCCTGCACACTGCGGTGGAGGGCAGGCTGCAAATCCCACAGGGGACAGCTTCATCCCCTGATGGGGCTAGGGCAGGGAAGGGCAATAGGAGAGCACCTACAGCTCCTGTGCTAGTACAGGATGATGAGAAAAATAATGGATTTCTTAACGCTTTCCTAAGTGGCTGCAATGACTGCTCCAGAAGCTTTCCCCACTTTCCTTTCAAGAGAAGCTTGTTATTCTGACTGTATCAATGCAAAAAAATCTCTTTATTAAAGAAGCAAACTACCCTTACTTGCAGTGCCCGCCACAGTGAAGATCTTTCAACTAAAAAAAACTTTTTAAAATCTGGAATGGCTTTTTTTCTTAGCTTAAGTAACATAAGTAACCTGTCATTTTTATATTTTGAATTTCAAAGAAGTCTGAAATTTCATATCTCAGAAGAATGCTTAACTTTTCAAACAATTTCCATTTATGCTTTGTAATGTTTTTTTCTAACCTTTGTGTTAGGCTTCTCTAAGTCCCTTACAGAAACTGAACACAAAATACCAGCAGGTGCCAGAACCCCTATCTCTAAGGGCATTTTGTTCAACTACGAATTGACTCCAGTGAGTGAACTTTGCTGTACTTTGGAAAAAATCCACACATTCGCCTAGGTTTGGCATCCTGGACCCCCACTGTTAAACAAGCACAAGGGACAGAATAATGACACTTAACTGAATTTCTGCCTATTGTGTGCAGCTGTACAGAAAGACTCTCATCTCTTTCACACAGCTTTTTCTAGAGGGCAAAATGATGATTTCACATGCATTTATGTTTTAAGTGTGAGTCAGCTCTCTAGTCAAGGTGAGCTGGCTGGAAACTTGTAATTTGGACTTGTCTATGGCATTGGTTTAATTTGTTTAGGGAACAGAGTTAAAAAAATAAACAAAGAACCTTATGGACCAGAAAGGTGGGACCTGCCTTCAATCCTTAGTTAAAGTAAGAGTACCTTACTTGTACAGCCATGATTTATTGAGATATAAGAAAATTAAGATTGGGAAATCCTTTCAGTCTGGCTGTTGCTGTTGAAACTGGCTGGAAAGAAGTTACAGTGGCCAAGTCTGTCTCTTTACATGACCATAAGCCAAAAAATGACCTGTCCTATGCTGAACTTTTTTATTACAATACTTCAGACTTAATTTATCAAGTAGTTTATACGTGAAAAGAGTATTGCATTTCTTGCATAGGAATAGCTGCTCTGTATGAAGCAGCTTTATGTTAATATGTCTGCAATAAAAGTGAGGTGCAATTCTGTAGAACAGAGAGCTCTGGGTTCAGGATTAAATGGGCCTGTGCACAAAGTCATTGATTTAATCGAGTTTACTTGAAATTGCACTTCTCCTGTAAACCACTGCATGTAAGATTGAGAAGAAGAGAACACAGGTTGTGCACAGGCTGTCCTTCTGGGACTGTTCATGCTGAGGTTGGCTTCAGGATGCCCTCAGTGCTGAAATGGGTTCCTGCTCTGTTCCAAGGGTGCCCTTGGGGTATCCTCAGGGGCATTTCAATGCTGTGTGAAGGTTTTCAGCACCCCTGGGGCTGTGCAGCCACAGGACAGACACAGAGACAGTCGGACACACACATGTAAAGGCACGTGGCTGGACTTGGGCTGGGAGTGGGCAGTGCTGGCCAAAGTGAATTCCAGATGTCCTGCCCTGACCGATGCTTGCTGCTCTCCATGGGAAACTGTCTCGGAGCATGAGGAGGAAGAGGAGGAAGAACAGAAACAAACTTACCTTGTGAGACTTTGATGGTGAACAAAAGGAGGCAAAGGAACATGAAAGAAAGAGAGAGGGAGAAATGTAACTGTAGATGATATATCTGAAACACATGGAGAACCAGAAGAGAATGAACAAACTGAGGCTGCAGAGTAAACAGAGAACAGCTGCTCTACCATCAGACATTCACACCAGGGCTAAACATTTCTTAACATTTTTGTACTTGAAGTGGATCACTTCATTTGGGACTCTTGTTTAAAGATGACAGGGGAATCCTTATCTGCTTTTTCAGCCCCAGGCAGGACAGGCTGGATAGGCTAACACCTCTGAGCAATGCTCCCAGAAACTCTCTCCTCTGTGCCATTGGCATTTTGTGGGTTTGACTGAAGGGGAGCCACTGAAGGAAGGCATCAAACAAGACATCACAGTGTACCAAAGGGCTCATGGCATACCATTCACAGTCCCAGAGCTGGGACAATTACACCTGAAGAGTTTTTGGCAGCTTCCCTGCTCAGTCTGCTTATGCCCACAGGTAACTCACAACCAGAGCATGCCTGGTGCTATTTAACATTCCTACAACGTTTTAAGAACTTGCCCCACCGCTGCAATTGGTGGGAAACTGCAAAAAAAGTATTTTAACTACTTTCCTCAGGCCTAGTTTGTGGAACAGCTCTTTTTAGATCTTTTTTAAAATGTAGTAAGTCCAGGCAGGCAATTTGTCTTTGGAATTTTCTTCATCTCATGAAGGGTTACTGGTTGGTTTGGGCCTCCTGCTCCCCTTTCCTTTCCAGGACAGCAGTGTTACCTGCCTCAGGAGGGGCCCTGCAGAGCAGAGAGGCTCAGTGATGCTTTCCCTCGGAGCCTGAGCATACAGCAACTGTGCAATCATCTGCTGCTGCTTTTGGCAGGGTCTGAACAGAGTAATTAGCAAAGGAGTGACGAGGCTGGCATGATTGTAGGTGAGTTCTCACTACTGGCTGGCAATGAGCTCTGAGAGTTGGCCGAAGTCTCCATCCAGTGAACCTGAAGCGATGGTGCAGCCAAGCACATCGTTCATTCAGAGGCCGAAAATGAGGGAGGGCTTCCTTCAGAAACCAAACTTGATTTCTTGGCTGCATTCAGCAGAGGCAAAACAATGCCTGGACAAACAGTCCCTGATTTGTGTCCCCTGTGCCACATCAGTGTGACCTTACTATGTTATTTCTCTGGCATTTTTGTCAAGAAATGGCACACAGTCTTTTATACCAGGCTCTGAGCAGGCAGGGACTTCCTGGAAAGTTCATTCTGCACAGTGGGCGGATGAAGATGTGGGCTGGGGACAAGGTGTGCCTGTAGCTGAGGGAGCTTTGCCTGGAAAGCCTTAGGAGGCTTGTTTTCCAGTTGGTTTTGGCCAGCTAATTAGCTGTGGTTTGCCTCAGCTCTGTGCATCATCCCTGCAGAGCTGGCAAGGGGCTCCAGGAGAGCACACTGCAGCAGCACTGCCCAGCCATATTTTGGCAGGAGAATTAAGTGCTCCCTAATTCTACCTTTGCCTTCAGACAGCAGGTACAGCAGAGGACAGTTCCCAAAGCCATCTAGCTGCTTAAAGAAGATATCTCTGGTGTCCAGTGGGGCCAGCTGGCAGTTTGTTTAAATTAGCAGAGAAAATACCCTGTGCTGTGGTGCTGCCAAAAGTAATTAAGTGTGACAGCAAAACTGCATTCAATTTATCTTCCTTCTGGGATATTATCCTGATAAAGGACACCCAGAGGAGATGAGGGGTGGACAGGACCCTCAGGTCAGTCAGTCTCAAGTCCCACCTTGTCCCTGACAGACATGGATCTACCCACTCTTGGAGTCTTTCAGGGACAGAGAGAGCAAATCCTGCCATACTACCTCTGCAGCATTTTGACCTTATTGGAGGAAAAACATCATCTAATTTCCACACAGGTCCTTCCTGGTGTTACTCAAGTCTGTCTTAGGCTGAACTGCTGCCCTCTCACATTTACTAGCCCTCTGAACACTTTCATCATCAGCATGCTACTGTCTTGTGGTTCTCTGGACTCTCTCCAGGTTTTCCACTTGAAGTACTGCCTCCAAAGCTGGCCAAAAGCCTCACCACAGCTTTATGCATGCAAAGAAAGGTGATGGGATCAGCGAAAGCCCTACAAGCTCTGCTCCCACCTGCCTGTGTGGTGTTCATTCCCTCTGTAGCAACGTTCCCCCTGTGCCACTTGTGACTCACTGCAGCCATCACATCCTTCCCTGAAAAACAAGTTGTTCCCTAGTGTGTATTTATGCAGTTGATTAGTCTTTCTGTAGAGTCCTGGGCTTGTCCCTACAGAGTAGCACTTTCTGTTTCCAGACCATTTCTCTGGCTGCATGGATCCAGGCACTGCCCTTGCTGTGCCTGCCGCGCTCGCAGCCAGCGCTGGTGTGTGGCTGGGGAGCCTCTCCTCCAGCCCGTCCTCAAACCACAGATGAAAATACTGAGCAGAGTTGCTCAGGAGGGACCTTTCCACACACCTCTCTTTATTTCTTTGCAGGTTAGGAAAATCCATTTAGAGGAAAGTTTTCAAGTGCATTTTCACGCAGGCCACGTCCCCCTGGCTTGCTGGCAGGAACGCTGTGTGAGACGGGGTCAGCATCTGAAGGTTAGCAGGGATGGCTGACTGCTGCCACCTCTCATGAAATTAATTCCTCTGCCATCAAAGGGAATCAAGCCAGTCTGACATAGCTCACTCTGGACAGAGCCACGGTGACTTTGTGGGGGCGTTTTTTATTTTCTAAATGCATGCGAGTCACTTACTTGATTACTTCTTCCAGGAACTGAAGCATACCTGATTGGCCTGTAATTCTTCTCCCTTTTCCCTCATTAAGGACAGTTTGCCATTATCCTCAGACCAGATTCCCCCTTTCCATGCCTGGGAAATAGCACTAGAAGATGAAAAGCTGGAAGGAGTCTCCTGTTCAAAAGGCATATGGAGGTGGCACTTGGGGAACACAGTTCAGTGGTGGACAAGATGGTGATGGCTTGGACTCAGTGATTTTGGAGGTATTTTCCAACCTCAGTGATTTTATGATTCTGTGGTTCTAACTCCCTCCCAACTCTCTACCAGCTAACAGAGGCAGGCCCAGGTACAGGGAGTGAGGTGATTATCCCTTAGGGAAAGCCTGAGCAGAGTTCCTGACCCTCAGCTGCTTCCCACCCTCCCCTTCACTGCTAGCCCTCACTAGCTCAGACAGGACCTGCTGTGTCCTGCCTCTAGCCCATTCAAATAGCCTGGCACCCTCACAGGGACATATGGGATTGACCATTTCAAGGCAAGGGGACTAGAGGTGGGCAGTGGTTTCACACTTTTTAAACTATTTCCCATGTGCACCCAGATTCAAGTTGCAGTGGTGTACAGTTCCTGTCCAGTGCATCTAATGGTTTGCACACAAACAAAACCCAGCCAAAGTAAATGGGCAGTGTTCTTAAATGAAATGTCCTATTTCTTACATTAGAAAACTGGTTTCCTTCTTAAGTTATTATTATTTTTTAAAATATGATAACAAGAACCAACCAGTTTGGGTTTGACAGGGCTGTTTGATTGAGGTAAGAGCAAGCAATCACTTCATTCTTTGTGTCGATTAAGTTTTTTATTTTCTTTTCTTCTCCATCAACCAAGAGCTGCTGCATTTAGCCACTACTTTCTCTGCATGGCAAGTAAACTTAAAAGCAGCTATTTAATGAGATGGCAAGAAATTGCCAAGGGCTGCAGCTTGTCAGATGCTGCTGGTGAAACATAAGACACATTGACTCCTCTTGCCATTTTCTACTACCACCAGAGGGATGAAATACTGCTGCTGTGCTTGGGGACCACTTGACCTGAACATTCCCTCCACATGCTGCTCATCCATTCTCTGCCTCCCAAACTGCTGGAATCCAGCCAGATGTGGGGAAGAGTGTTTTGGGGATACTTCTAAGCTGTATGATTTTCCCCAACAGTGAAACTGTAGAAGACCCTCCCAGTGAGACCCTCCTAAGCACCAGCCCCTCTCAGGTGGAGAGCAGGGCTTTGGAGCAAAGCAAGTCCGTTTCAGTGGTGGTTCTTTGTCAGGACAGATGCTTTCCTGACTCTCCCCACACCTGCAGAGGGGTCCTGCCAGACAGCGACCCGCACACGGAGACTGCCCCACAGAGGAAGAGCAGAAGAGTTTATGGTTATGAACATTCACTTATGGCATTGCACACATATCTGGCAGATTCTTGAAGACACATCACATGTTGACAGCAATTCACAATTTAGCCTCAGAAATAACCTGCTCTGGAGGTACATCTGGAAGGAAATGTGGTAGGTGGTTTGCAGGGTAAAGCAAAGAGCAGTATTGCCTTTGTCCTGAGGAAAGTTTTTGCTTTGCATATATTCAGGTTTTTAATATCCATCATTTGTTCTGCATGGGGACTGCCTTAACTGAAGCTGGCTCAGAAATTATCAATGTGGTTTGGTGAGAGGCTTTAACCCCTGGGTTTAGCAGCTGAAAATGTTCACTGGTTTCCTGCCTTTTTTTCCCAATTTCATCCATTTTGTCTTTAGGGGGATTCCTGGCAGCTTCCTGAGATCCTCTCTCCCCCTCTGTCGTGCAGCCACAGATGTTGTCAGCAGAGATGACAAAGTGGAGCCTCTTCAAACCAAAAGGCAAAAGCTGCTGGCAAATGGTCTCTGGGAGAAGGGCTTGCTTTGGGAACTGCCCATCCTATCAGCCTGACAGGTCTCAGACCTGTTTGGTTTGAGGGCTTGCTCATCGGCCTCTGGAAGGGAGTGGGGTCTTGCAGATGCCACCAGCACCCTGAGCTGTGTTTCTTCTGGCTTTCAGAGTGAGATGTCACCTCCATCCTATACACCAGGATACAGGAGATATGACACAACTTTCACCCCAGTAAAAGCCTCTACCAGATGAAAGTTACAGAGCCTGTGTTCTGGTATGGTAATATCTACTAACTGGTGACTTAAATTATGTACATTTAAAAAAGGATTCTTCTTTCCTTAAACTAATGTTTTAGTCAACTCAAAGGGTCTATGTGATGTTCTAGGAGCAGCAAAACATTTCTGGCTCAGCCTAAGAACTTGGTCTGAAACATGAAAAAATACTCCAAAACAATGGGTAAATATGTCCTGGGGAGGAAGGGGAGGGTCCAGGAGAGTCCCCAGGGCTTTTCTGGGGACAGCTGGCCCTGGGAGCAGAAGTGGCCTAGCAAGAAGGTCTCACTAACTACAGATTTGCAGCCAGACTCGCAAGGGACAAAGGGTTTTCTTGTTCAAATGGATGTGACCAGGGCAGAAGGGGCTCCAGACAGCAGAGTTCACAGTGCTCTCCCTTCCTGTGCATTTCATTTCATCCAGGGAAGCTCCTGACCCACGTGGTGGGATGGGAGACTGTCACAGATATGTCACAAGGCCCATTCCCACTGCCCCCTATGAATATCTCTGCCTACCGTGTTTCTCATGGACTTGCAGAGCCCATCCTGTGTCTCTTTCTCCCTAGAGTGCAGCTCAGCAGCCTGCAGGGACATTATGTGGGACCCAGCGCCTTTGCCAGGGGAGGAGAAGTCAGCAGGGCGAGTGCACTGTACTTACTTGCAAGAATGACCATGTCCATGCCCCAGAAGATGCTCATGATCCAGCCCACCATGACGATGGCCGTCAGGATCTGGATGAGGGCGGCGGCGATGTTCAGCCAGAAGACGCAGCACATGTGCCGGTCCGGGAGGTCGGTGCGGGCCCCGCAGAGCACGGTGAACGCCGACACGAACGTTCCTGGGGACACAGGAGCAGCACACGCCCGTGAGAGCCACGGCAGCACCTCCTGACACTCGCTGCTGTTATGTGTAGTAGATACAATTCACACCATTTCTAGTATGATGTATGTGATATTGAATATTTGCTGGAGTATATATGTTTGTATTAGGAGTCCCCCCCACCCTCGAAGGCGAGACCTAGTGTATATTAGAACCCGATTTACAAGTGGTTCAGCCAGGAGATGGGGATGGGCCATGTCTGGAGAGATACGGGGACCCCAGGCGCTGATCATGAACGACCCAAGATGGATATAATGGAAATCCTCAGGTAGATACATGTGAATGCAGCGTTCCCATAAACTTCATCGAGGGATTCAACAAATCCGGAACTGAATTGTTTAAAAGAAAATCTTATTAACTATGGGCTCTGAATGGAAGAAAAGACTGACTGCTGAAATCTTGGCCTCAGGTGGAATTTTCCCTATAAAAACCACTTGTGCCAGGATGGAGGTGTGTGGGCATAGGGGAAAACCTCTGCTGAGGCTGACTTCTTTGTTGCACACCCAGGGCTGACCCCGGGCTCAGCTCTGTTCTTTCCTCGTGGCTGGCTAGATGGAATTTGATTGCAAAATAAATATTTTATTTTTTCATTTTAATTTGGCGGGAAAATTTTTCATTTATACCACTGCCCTCAGGCCTGCTCCCCTCGTGACCTCCAAAATTTACACTCTTGGACTAAGCCTCGCTTCCTGTACTTGAAGACCAGGGTGGAAAAATCACTCCTTGGGTTTTGGCTCCTTCCACCCCACCCCACCTGAACGTGGACAAAAATTCAAAACCCCATAATTCCAATAAAGATTTGTAGGGACGGTATGTTTATTACAGCGCTGGACGTGTGTGAGGGATCTTTCCCCTTCAAAGGACATGCGTGCCCCTGAGGACTCCCAATCCTTTTTTATTACTCCTTAATAATTTCCATATACATAGCATTTCACAATAGGTTCATGCATATTCATTCTGCTGATTTCTTGTTACACTTACAGCTAGTTACACTTGTACTCAGTTTTTTGTCAGAAAGTACAGTAAGAACTCCTGGGTCACTCTGCCCTGTCTGTTTCAAGGTTCGAGGAGTCTTTCTTATCTCTTATATTTTTAGCTTGGAAATTTGCATTCTTTCTCCTTAGCTGGGGCACTTTTACTAGTGTTGCAGTTACCAGACTAAACAGCATATTTTACCTATGTTAGCAAGCTCAAAGCAGCACATTTCACCTAAATCCAAATGGATTTCTACCCTGTTAAACTTTTACTCTGTCTCACACCCAACAGAAACCACTTCTGCACTGCAAGGGAGTGCTGTGTATCTGTGGAAATACCTTTGTTCTGCCTGGTGACTTCTCCTGGGGAGAAACACTTACTACACAGCAGATCTATAAAGGAAAACTGAACCCAGAGCTAGGGGAGGACTGGCTCTAGGAATCCCTAATGGTCTGGCAGTCTATTAATATGCACAAATACTCCTCTAAAAGGAGCAGACACAAAAAAACCAAAAAAGGAGTGGCACTGCGTTTTTGCACAATGCTCTCCCCAGTCACAAGCTGCTACCTGATGGCATGTTTTAACCCCTCAGAAGTAGCTGAACTTCTTAAAGTGCTGGAGCCAGGGGACCTGGTGTGGCAGTCCTTGGCTCTGCTTGAGACCAACTTACAAATCTTGCAACCACACTTCAAACTTCCTAAAACGTTTCATATGAAGGACCTTATTGATGTATGAGAATTAAAGCTGGGGAAAAACCCAAAAACCTACACCTCAGCAGCCTTTCACAATGATTTCTCCTAAATTTACACTCTTGGACAAGGCAGATTTTTTACTTTTAGCTGATATGTTGTGCTCATGGCTGGCTGAAGCTCACCGCTCAGGGAAGACTTATCTGTCCCACAACCAACATGAAGAAACACACACTATATCTAAGGAGCAGAAGAAGCAGTTCCTGGCTCCTCTAAAATATGAGCTGGTGGCCAGGAGGTTCAGGCACCTTTTCTAAGTATGGATTTCAACACCTCTTAGCATTATGAATTGTCTTTGTGTTTTTCTAAAACAAATACAGCATTGCTAAGGTAAGTACCAAAGTGCAATGTTGATTGCATTGGATAACACAGTCCTGTGAAATGCCTTCTTTCATCTTGAATTAAAATGTTGGTTTCTACAAAAACTGCCTTTTTTCTTCTTAAAGATGGAAGCCTGCAAACAGCCTGTAAGATGTGAATGAATGAGCACATCTTCAGTGCATGTATCTTGTTGAACTCAGGGGAAGGTGGGAGTCCCTTGATTGGACTGAAGACAGGGACAAAACACTCAGTTTACACTCTTGTAGTAAATCTCATCAGACCAAGAGAGCAGAACCATCTGGTTAGAAGCAAAATACCACTTTGTCCTGCACTGCTAGGGAGGTGGAAGAAAGAATCTCTTTCTTTGCTGCCTCTTCCTCAGTGGGTCACAAGGATAACAGGCAGCTGAGATGCCAAAATGCTGGGGAAGGCCGTCTACAGCCTATTTTTGATCCTGCCACCCTCTGCAAGCTTCAGTTCCAGCGTCTTCCTAACACTCCACCAGTCCTAAAACCCTGCTTGTTTTCCCGCTGCTGGCTGGATCCAATGTCTTATTCCCACCCCCTCCCTGTGGCACCTGCCAGAGCTGGGCATGGAACAGGCATGGAGGGGAGTGAGTGAGTACTGTTGGGGCAGAGGAACACAGCCCTACAGCACAGCATCACAAGGGCAGCATCTTCTGCATGAGAAACATCCCTGGGCTTCCTCCTTGGGCTTTCACAGGTGGGGTTTCATCCCCTTATCCACAAAACCAAACGGGTCTGCAGAGAGGAAAGGGGAAGTCATTATAATCCCAAAGGATGTTGTGGAAGTCTCCCCATAGCTGTCTTTTGCTCTCTGGCTTTGTCTTCCACGTCTCTTGTGTCCCCCGTGTGGGATTATGTGACATCTCTGCCCTGCTTCACCCACTCTTTTTTTCCTTTATAGTTTATCAAAGCAGAAGGAAGCCTGGAATATTTCCCTCATGCTTCCTGAAAGTGTTGTTTTCAAAACTACACCACAGCACTCTCTGAGATTAAATATGGATTGAGACAAGATCAGAGACTGGGTGTTTATGTTTTACCATCAGGATGCTAAATCTTGCCAAATGAAAATGCCTGTCTCTTTTTAAAATGAAAATCTTTCCCTCTTGCCTAACCTTTAACTCTTCCAAGATGTGTTACAAAGAAAGGTCAAAAATTAGCAATAATTCTTAAACTACAGCTTCAAATCCTTCCAGTGAAGCTTTTAAGATATTTACATCATTAGAGCAAGGTGCTGAATTAGTTAGTCAATGTCCTAAATACCCCAAGCTAAAGTCTAAGTGACTAAGCTAAAGTCTAGTCCCGTTCAGAAAGGAATAAAGCTAACAAAGCAATTAAGTGTCCTCCTCTGGACTGGGAATAGATACAGAAACTGGGATTAAAATCTCATGAACCTTGACTTCTGATTCCTCTTCAGGCCACTTTCCTACTCAAGGGAGCTAATTCATTCTTCCAATGTCAGTGCATTTTTTTTATTACTTATGATGAGCCAATCTTTGGGAGCTTCCTGGCATTCTTGAATACAGGATTTTAGCTGTACCAGCAGGCATAGGATGGAAGCATTTTTCCTCTACTCCACACATGGTTGAGAATGCGAAGCAGGAGTAAGAGTCTTAAATGCTTTTGCCAAAGTAGATGTTTTCCCCTTAGAAGCCATCATGGTTACACACTGCCAGATCTGGAATTATTTGCATCTGGAAATGCAAATGGTGGAGAGGAGAAGGAGGAGGAGGAGAAGGAAGGCAAGCAAGCTCTATCTGGCTTCCTCAGAGCTGAGGCACTAAACCATTTTCCTTCCTGACCAGGCATTCAGACACTTGAATCCCTACAGCCTGGAAATCCTAAACCTGGAATGCCAGCTGCATATGGCCAAATAAATCATCAGTCCAAAAAGGTCTCAGGTTGTGAGTACAAACAACAAACACAAACCAGTGGCTCCACAAGCAGATATAAACTGAACACCCATGCTGTTATGCCAGTATAACATAAGCATAAATTATAGTAAGCATTTCTTCTAGCTTCCCAATGGAAAACACCCAAACTGCAACGAAATCTGGGATTATTCTAAATCATTAATTAATACAGGCTCTTTGAGGACACAGGGGAGGTGATGAAGATGTCCTGTCCTGTTTTTAATGAGTCTGTTTGGCCCCTTGCAATCACCTGGCTGAACTGTACAGCCCCTGCTGCACCCTAAGCCAGCAAGTACCAGGGGCTGGGCACAGGGAGGGATGGGAGCTGAGGATTGCTCTTCTGGAGCAGCTGGGAGGCAGAGGGTGAAGGCAGCGAGGCTGTCGGGGGTGTCACACAGATCCCACTCACTTGGGGCAGTGTCAGCCAGCTGGGGCATTCACATGGTACTGGGATAGAAAAAGAGTCCCTGGGAGCCTCTGCTTGCTTTGGCTGCCAGCACAATTAGTGTATTTTTAGATTACAAAAGTAAATACAGAAAGATGCTTGTTTCCAGCAGTTTGACCCATTGAACACAAAGGGGATGTGTTATCTGCAGAGCAACACAATTAAATGAAGGGGCAAAGGAGGGGGTTTTGCCCTTTCTCTCCTGTCATGCAGGATAAAGTCCCCTCTCTGGTGTCTGCTGCTACCTTGGCAGCCACGGCCTTCCCAAGAGCATCACCTGCTGGTTCCTGGCCTCACAGAATACAGTATACAAACTTGTATGAGAGTGATAGTTCAGGGGGTTTTTGTTTTAGAGCAAAACCTCACACCTTGGAAAGGGATTCCCTGGTTTCCTATTGTTTGAGTCACTCATCCAGGGTGGAGAAAGGCATGAGGTCAAGACCATGGCCTGTTCTGAACAGTCTCCTCTGTGTTATCTGAGTGCAGAAGTGTTATGGAATACCTTAAGCTGCAGGAGAGAAGTTTTTCCTCTC